TTTTCGCGTTGGTCAAGGTTGAAAAGGGCGCGAGAATCTGGACCGTGCGTGTGGCCCAGATCTCGCGTGTGGCCCCGCATGTGCTGCGCGCGTGCTTCGCCATTGTTGCGAGCGTGGCAGGGACCACGATCGCAACAAGATAGGGCGATAATGATCGCCCTTCCCACGTCAGGACGGTGCGCCCTTAGGGATGCGCGTGGGTTGCGAGGGTTGCCGAGAGATCCCGAGGGGTGCTCGGGATTCACTCGAGATCTCAGTTGTAAAACTGAATCTCGAGCGCGTCTTTTGTGACATGGCGAAATAAAGAAATTTGCGATTTAAGTCGCACGTGTAACGCGACCGTTTCTTACAGGTACAAAACGGTGAAAACCGTTTTACAACTGTAAAGCTTGGGGAAACGGAATTCTCACACGAGCGTTCATCATTCGACGCGGGAGTTCATGGTCGCTCGCGAGAGGGGTCAGCAGGAGCATTTGGCAGACATGGAAATTGAAGGCAGTTACTTGAAGGACTCGGATGAAGCCAAATTCAAGAGGAGTTTGACAACTGTTTTCCAAGACAACATGGCGAAGTCCGAATTATAGTTTTATAACTGCTTGATGTTTGCCTTTGCTCGTGAGTAGTGATTCCTATATATGCGTGCTTGTGCTTGGTTGTAATCAACACTTTACGAATGAAAATTGCTCTATCAACGTATTGACGTGAAGAGCTGATTCTGCATACGAGCCAATTCGTCGTCAACGCTGCACAAACGAGCTTGGGAGCGTCCTAGTGCACGTGATTGAATTTACACTTAGTACGTCCCTCGACAAACACGGACCCTTGGTTAGGGGTTGGCTTTGCCAGGCACCCGAGACCCTTGGAGGTGACCCCGTGGGGACTAACTAGTGTGTATTAAAGGCGTGCTTAGAGCTTCTAGATCTCATATAGTAGTCAACAAGTGGTATCAGAGCTGAGGATTGGACGTCTTGCCGTTAGGACAATATGGAGTCGAGGGGAAACGAAGGTTCTTTTGCACGAGCTGATAGTGGAGTCAAGGATACTAGTGGCTCAGCACCAAGGAGAATGCGGGTCGGCCAGGGCTCCCTATTGAAGGAGGTGTTGAAGAACTTCCTCATCGACAAGTTCAATGGCAACAACTACGATGATTGGGCGTGGAAAATGCAGCTGTATTTTCGGCAAGTGGGCTTGTTGAAGTTGATGACGGGTGTGGAGAAGAGGCCGGACGATGTCAACCTGCAAGAGGAGTGGGACGAGCGTGCCACTGCCGGCTACTACCTTCTCTCACAAAGCCTGGAGATGAACCAGCGGTCACACGTGATGCACCTGCTAGAGGAAGCTGATTGCGGGCCACGAGCTTGGAAGGTGCTAAAGGAGTTGCACGCGCCAACCTCTGTGGTCACAACGCTCATGCTGAAGCATGATCTAGCGGCATTGCGCTTGAGTGAGGGGGAGCCGATTCAACCGGTTCTCGACAAGATGTGGGAGCTGTATGCGAAGTTGCAAATCGCAGGCAACACCTACCCGGAGCAAACAAACTGTCTACGGATGCTATCACTGCTACCCGAGTCTTGGCTGCAATTCACGAGTGGTCTGAGCCTTCCTCAGAACAAGAAGCTGTGGACCCTCGAGTGGGTGCGAACCAAGGTCTTGGAGGAGGAATTCAGGAGGAGGCAGCTCAACTACAATCAAGATGGTGACGTCGGATATGGCATGCAAGGTAGCAAGTGGCGTAGGAGAAATGACCGGGGACGTGATGAACGTGAACAACATGGAAGCGGACGTAGCAACAAGAAGGACAGCAGCAAGAGTGATGATGATGAAGAGGACGAGCATGGTGGCTACCGCGGATTCAAAGGCACCTGCTGGTATTGCAAGAAGCCGGGACATACCTAGGTGAAGTGCTGGAAGCGGCCCAAGTGGTGGATTTCCGGGCACAAGGATGGCGAGAAGAACCAACAGCATTGCGTTGGTTATGTAGCAGAGGCCGCAATGGAAGGGGAACAAGGATGGGAACGCGCTCCTGGACAATTCTTCCACGTGCAAGGGAGTAGGGGAGATGAGAAGGCATCTGCCAAGGAGGGAGCAGAGCCTCATCCCCTCAACACATGGATTCTAGACTCCAGAGCTGCTCATCATATGACCCCGAGAGCGGACCTGCTAGACAAAGTTGGCATGACGAGCATCACCGAAATGAATTCGGGATGTGGGCACAAGATGAAGGTGTTGGGGGTCGGCAAGGCAGCCTTCAAGGGAGCTGATGGGAAACCGATGATTCTTGAAGATGTGCTTTTGGTGCCGGAGCTGAAGGGGAATTTAATTTCCCCTAGGAAGATGGGACTTGCAGGCGTGTGTACAGCAACTAATGGAGCTGAAACCTTCAAGGGGCAGCTTGGTGATCGTGTGCTGTGGGACCTACATGATGACAGGGATATTCGTGATGAGCTGTGGCATGTGCCGGTGGTGCCGTGGAATGACGTGGCACTTGAGAAGGAGAAGGGGAGTTGCGGGTGCAAGGGAGAATGTGTTGCGGTGGCTGCTGAGACGATTAAGGAGCTGAAAACTACTGTGGAGCTGCTGGTGTTGGAGTTGCACCAAGCCAACGCTCGACTTGCAGCAGCTGAAAAGAAAGGTGCATCCGGTGCGGATAAGAAGACGGGTGCAGAATCCAGGGGGAGTGAAGTGAAAGGTGTTGCTGTGAACAAGGAGAAGGGAGTATACATGGGTGGCACTCGAGAGCAGCTGAAGCCTAAAGTCTCGGTGCAGCTGAAGGATGCAGCCGTGAAGGAGAAGTTGTTGCTGTTACAAGTGATTGAGGAAACCCAGGTGGAGCTGGGTTACAAGGAAGTAGAAACTACTTCGGATGGTAGCAACAATACTTCGGTGAATTTGCAAAAGCGTGTAGCTGATCTCATGGAAGCTGAAGTTGTGGGGGAGCATAATACTGAATTTCTCAAAACAAGAGTTGGGATCGGTAAGGTAGTGGAGACGGTCAATATTGAGAACAAGGTTGAGGGAGCTGAATAGCCGTCAGGTTGAGGTGGGGTTTGTTGGGTGCAAAACGTATTTTGCACGTAAACCTGTCGCCTGTTCGTCGAGCAAGGTGACATTCTGAAGTATTTTGTTTCAAGGTAATTTGTGTTTTGTGGCATGCGCATTTGTGTGCTTTTTATTTGGTGTTTATGGCTGGTGGATCGCCTTAGCGGTTCTTAAGTTATGTGCATTTTAGTGTGAGGTTGCATTCATGTGTTTTCATGATTGTTCGTGTGAATTTCGTGTTGTTCTTGTTGCGTCATGAATGTGCGTGGAGTTCCGAGTGATCATGTGGTTTCGTGAGCTTTCACGTGTTCATGAATGTTCGCATGCTGTTCGTGCAAGCTTCATGAGCGTTCATGTGTTTTCATGTTTGTTCATGTTCGTTCATGACTGTTAATGTCTTGTTCATGTTCCTGTCATGAGTTTTCGTATGTCTTTCATGAGTGCTCACGGTGAATGGCGAGTGTTTTTGCTGGGAGATATTTTCGCGTTGGTCAAGGTTGAAAAGGGCGCGAGAATCTGGACCGTGCGTGTGGCCCAGATCTCGCGTGTGGCCCCGCATCAGCCGCGCGTGTGCTTCACCATTGTTGCGAGCGTGGCAGGGACCACGATCGCAACAAGACAGGGCGATAATGATCGCCCTTCCCACGTCACGACGGTGTCGAACTCATATGCTATAGTCTGTTTAGGCTGTAGTGGGGTAGTCAATATGGGGTACAACACTTTAGGGTTTCCTACTTGTACTCCTCATGCTGCTCAATGCATTCATTCCTTCCTAGTTTTTTCACATGGTATAGAGCAGGTTCCCTAGTGGGAACGCTTCCTAGGGCCCACCACGAATTTTTTTTTCCTGCCCGGAGCGCGCTTCGCTTCTGCCCGAGTCGCGCCCCGTGTGCCCTCCCTACCGTCGCGTCCCTAGCCCCTAGCCGCCCGTCGCGCCCTCCTCAGGCCCCTAGCGGACCCCCTTTTCACGGCCCCTCTTGGCCCCTCTCACGGCCCTGTTGCTGACCCTAGCGGCCCCGTAGCCGCCCTAAGCAGCCCCGTCGCCGCCCTATTGGCCCCGTCGCCGACCCTTGCGGCCCCGTCGCCGCCCGAAGCGGCCCCGTCGCCGCCCTGTCGGCCCCGTCGCCGACCCTTGCGGCCACGTCGCCGCCGTGTCGGCCCCGTCGCAGACCCTTGCGGCCCCGTCGCCGCCCTGTCGGCCCCGTCGCCGACCCTTGCGGCCCCGTCGCCGCCCTTGCGGCCCCGTCGCCAGCCCCTGCGGCCCCGTCGCCGCCATCCGCGGCCCTGTCGCCGCCCTATCGGCCCCGTCGCCGCCCTCGCCGGCCCCGTCGCCGACCCTGCCGGCCCCGTCGCCGCCCTCAGCGGCCCCGTCGCCGACCCTACCGGCCCCGTCGCCGCCCTCAACAGCCCCGTCGCCGACCCTGCCGGTCCCGTTGCCGACCCTCGCGGCCCTGTCGCTGCCCTCAGCAGCCCCGCTGCCTCTTTACCGGCCCCGTTGCCGACCCTCGCGGCCCTGTCGCCGCCCTCAGCGGCCCCGCCGCCTCCCTACCGGCCTCGTCGCCGACCCTACCGGCCCTGTCGCCGCCCTCAGCGGCCCCGCCGCCACCCTACCGGTCCCGACGCCGACCCTCGCGGCCTCTTCCATTCCGCCAGCAGCCCAGCAGCCGAGGCGCCCAGCAGCTGAGCCGCCGAGCCGCCCAGCAGCCAAGCCACCGAGCTGCCCAGCCGCCGAGCCGCCGAGCCACCCAGCAGCCGAGCCGACGAGCCGCCAAGCAACCGAGCAGCCAAGCAGCCGAGCCGCCGAGCCGCCCACCAGCCGAGCCGCCGAGAAGCCAAGCAGCCGAGCCGCCGAGCCGCCGAGCCGCCCAACAGCCGAGCCGCCGAGCCGCCCTTCCTTCCGGCGCGCCCCGGCCCTACTTCCTTGGACTGGTGAGCTCCCTCCCTGATAGGCCACTGCAGTCATGGCTACCCCCAGTGTCCTTACCTTTGATACTGAGGGTCGTGCTGTTGACTTTGAGTTCTGGGTCGATGACCTCCAGCTGTTCTTACAGTGCGATAGGGCGGACGGACTCTCACTGTTCGATCTCACATCAGGTGTCTCTCCTGCCCCGCCTGCTACTGCTGACAGCACTGTTCGCTCACAGTGGGCCACACGCGATGCTGCTGCGCGCCTTGCTGTGCGTCGCCACTTACCGACCACTGAGCGTGCGCACTTTAGCCAGTACAAGAGTGCTAAGACCTTGTACGACGCTGTAGTTGCGCGCTACTCTTCCCCTGCCACTGCTGCACTTAGCGGCCTCATGCTACCGTACCTGTTCCCTGACCTTGCTGCCTTTCCCACTGTCGCTGACCTCATTACGCACCTTCACACTAGTAACACTCGCTACCGCGCTGCGCTTCCCGCTGAGTTCTGTGCCAAGAACCCCCCCCCCCATGTACATCACCCTCTATTACATAGTCACCTGACTCCCGGACTCCCTTCGCTTAGTCAGGGACCACTTCCTCTCGGTTTGCCCTACCACACTCACCGTTGACCTCCTCGAGGAGCGCCTCTTAGCAGCAGAGAAGAATATAGTAGCTGTAGGAGCCTCCCGTGGTGACCCTCGCACCCCCCTCTTTGAGGGGTGTTCTCGCTCCCCCCTCTTGCCCTCTGTTGCTTCTGCTAGTGCGGCCGACCTCGTTAGTTTCGAGTCGGCTGGCGCTGCGTTTTCCCCTTCTGGGAAGCGCCGCACAGGCAAGGGCAAGGGGGGCAAAGGCGCTGGAGGGGCCAATGGGGGCGGTGGAGGTGGTGGTGGAGGCAGTGGAGGGGTTGGGGGTGGTGGTGGGAGTGGTGGCGGGGCCGGAGGTGTCGGTGGCAGCAGTGAAGGCGGAGGAGGCGGCGGTGGTGGCGGAGGTTGCAGAGGCGGCGGTGGTGGAGGAGGCGGCGGAGGCGGCGATGGAGCTGGTCGCGGCTCTGCGCACAGGAGTGGCTCCGGTGGTGGTTCGCGCCAGCAGCAGCAGCGCGGCCGTGAGACCCTGTCCCCTCAGCAGCTTCGTGAGTGGTATGCTGGGCGTCAGAGGGGTGGGGGTACTAGTCCCTGCACCTACGTTCTCCGTACAGGCGACCGCACTAGTGAGCAGTGCGGGAGCTCGCACTCCACCCAGCGCTGCTTCGGCCGCCTGACGGATCCATGCGGCTGCTCCCCATTTTCTGTGGCCGTTTGCGGTTCAGTACGCAGTGCTTCAGCTCAACCTTCAGCCCCGGGTCTCCTTGCCAAAGACCTCCCCAACCTTGCGGTGGACGGGGAAGGTCGGCGATGCGTCGGCGTTTCGGGTCTGGGGATCTCGGGCGTTTGTCCGCGACTTGTCTGCGGACAAGCTGTCCCCCCGTGCTGTTCCCTGCGTCTTCCTTGGCTTCCCCCCTGACGTGCCTGGTTGGCAGTTCTACCACCCCACCTCGCGCCGTATTCTGTCCTCCCAGGACGTCACCTTTGACAAGTCGATGCCTTACTACCGTCTCTTCCCCTACCACACTGCGCCCCTCCCCCCGCCGCCGCTCTTCCTTGCGCCAAGTCCTGCCCCAGTAGATCCCCTCCCCCCTCAGGGTCCTGCCCCGTCAGGTGTGTCCCAGGTAGACGCAGTTGAGCCTGTCGAGGTAGCTGTTGACTCTGGTGCTGCTAGGGGCACTGTGCCTGCGGGTGCCAGGTCTGGGGGTGCGGAGCCTGGGGGTGCTGAGTCTCGGGGTGCTGAGCCTTGGGGTGCTGAGTCTGGGGGTGGTGAGACTGGGGGTGCGGAGCCTAGGAGTGCTGAGCCTGGGGGTGCGGAGCGTGGGGGTGCTGAGCATGGGGGTGCGAAGCCTGGGGGTGCGGAGCCTGGGGGTGCTGGGTCTACTCGTGTGGCCTCTGGCGGTGCTTCGTCGAGGAGGGAGCTCTTCTCTCCGAAGGAGCTGCGCGAGTGGTTTGCCCGGCGCTAGAGCCGTGCAGCTAGAGCTGGAGGTACTACTGTTGCTGCTGGTCCTGGAGGTGCTCGTCCTGGCGGTTTTGGAGCTGCTGTGACTGGGAGTCCTCCTGGAGGTGCTACAGGAGCTGGGACTTCTGGAGCTCCTGGAGCTGGAGCTACTGGGGGTGTTGGCGCTAGTGGTTCTGCTGGCGCTGGTACTTCGGAGGGTGCTGGAGTTGGCGCTGTTGGAGCTGGAGGTGGTGCTGGCGCTGGTGCTGCTGCTGGGGGTACTGGTGCTGTCCCTGCTATTTCTTAAGGCGCTACGCGGCCGAGGCCGTACTTCGTTCCGCTCCTTGAGCAGGTTCTTGGTCTCCCGCCCTCTACTCGTCCTGCTCCTCCCTTAGCGCGTCCACAGCCTGTCCAATCACGGTCACAGTTACAGCCCGCCTCCCCCCTGCCTGCTCCTTCTCCCTACACTGGTCCTACTGGAGGTCTTGCTGAGCGTCGTGAGCCTGCGTCTCGTCCTGCATTGCCTGTTCGTGCTGCTCGCACTAGTGGTCGTGCTCCGCGTCCACGTCCTCCTGCAGTCCCCGGCACACACCAGATGGCACTGCGTCCTTCCATTGCTCCTCTACGTGTCCCATTGCCGTCTCCTCCAGAGTCCTCTCTTCCTACTCTTGCTGACCCTGAGTCTGACTCTCTTCATGCTACCAGTCCTAGTGTCACGCGTCTCCTGGCTACTGTTGTCACTGACCCTTCGTTTGAGTCCACTGCTGCGTCTGCCTTAGTTGCTGAGCTTGTCGACTTTGCTGCTCGCTGTCGTCTAGACTACGCTGCTAGTCTTGTTGCTGAGTCTGAGTCTGTCTGTCCTCCGTCCGTCGGTGGTGAGTGTGCTCTTAGCACGGACGTCCTTGAGGACAGACAGGAGGAGTTCCAGTGTTTTGCTGCTGCTTTGCCACATCTCATGTCCACGCTGATTGCCCCTGAGGGAGACCCAGATGCACCAGACATCCTGACTCCTCCATCGTACGCTGAGGCGATCGAGGGTCCCTACTCCTCATAGTGGCAGTCAGCCATGGACACAGAGATGGCTTCCTGGAAGTCCACAGGCACCTACGTCGACGAGGTTCCCCCATATGGGGCGAACATCGTCAGTGGCATGTGGATTTTCAGGGTGAAGCGGCCGCCGGGTTCTCCGCCTGTCTTCAAGGCGCGTTACGAGGCTCGAGGCTTCAGTCAACGGCAGGGAGTTGACTACTTTCAGACCTTCTCCCCTACCCCAAAGATGACCACTCTTCGGGTGCTGCTGCACATAGCCGCTCAACGCGACTACGAGCTTCACTCTCTTGACTTCAGCACACCTTTCTTGCAGGGCAGCCTGCACGAGGAGATCAGGCTGCGCCGCCCACCTGGCTTCACAGGGTCGTTCCCTCCTGGTACCCAATGGAGTCTCCGGCGGCCAGTCTACGGTCTCTGCCAGGCGCCCCGTGAGTGGCACGACACAGTGAGGAGTACACTTGCGGCTCATGGGTTTGCTCCTTCTACTGCCGACCCGTCGCTGTTTCTGCGCACCGACACCTCTTTGCCGCCGTTCTACATCCTCGTGTACGTCGACGACTTGGTCTTTGCCACTGCAAACACTGCTGGACTCGCCCACGTGAAGTCCGAGCTGCAGAAGAGACACACGTGCACAGACCTGGGTGAAATGCGCAGCTACCTTGGCTTGCAGATCACCCGGGACAGAGCACAGCGCACCAGTACTCTGACTCGCTCATACATGGTGCAGCAGGTCGTTCAGCGCTTCGACTTCACGTACTCCTTGCCTCAGGCCACTCCTTTGTCTACTCGCCACTCGCTCTCAGCTCTGCCTTCGGATGAGTCCGTAGAGCTGATTGGCCCGTACCCAGAACTTGTTGGCTGCCGCATGTACCTGATGACCTGCACACGACCTGACCTAGCATACCCTCTTAGCATCTTGGCACGCTATGTGGCTTCTGGTAGACACCGACCAGAGCACATGGCTGCAGCGAAGAGGGTGTTGCGCTACTTGTGCAGTACGCCGGGCATGGGGCTAGTGCTTGGAGGGCGACGTCCAGTGGTCCTCACTGGTCACGCAGACGCTTCTTGGGCTGACGACCAGGCTACGCAGCGGTCGTCACAGGGTTATACCTTCAGTCTTGGTTCCGGCTCTGTCTCGTGGTGGTCTACCCGCTCGTCTTCTGTTCTCGGCTCCAGCTGTGAGGCCGAGATCTACGCAGGGGCCATGGCTGCATAGGAGTTACGCTGGCTCACCTACCTGCTGACTTACCTTGGAGAGCAGCCTCGTTCTCCTCCAGTTCTGTACGTAGATAACAAGGCCATGCTAGCCTTGTGTCGGGAGCACAGACTGGAACACAGAACGATGTGACAATTACGAGGAATGGAAATGACTAAGGGAATGTTGGGTACAAGTACAAACCCTAGAAAGCTGTACCCCATATGTGCTACCCCACTATAGCCTACAGTAGCTAAGTCATATAAATCTGACACACCCGCATAGGCAAACTGGGGGAGAACAAGGGGTCACAAGACCAGTCAAGCAAAGCAAAGCAAGCTCAGGGTGGATCACAACGTCACCACACATTCCGAGCACAAGTTCAAGGCCACAAGGCCAGTTCACATGCAGGATTACATATATTTATAAGGCAAAACAAGCAAGAGCAGGTGAATATATATATGTAACAGTACAAACAAGGTCAAAGGGTGAGCAAGTGAGGCAAGGTAGGCACAAGTCCTAGCTGAGTACAGAAGCGCTGATAATCACAAGGCGCAAGTGCCTTGGTGAAGATGTCATCAGTGTTGGCCGGAGAGGCCACGTACGCAAGGCGCAGCTGACCACGCTGCTGTAGCTCACGAGCAAGGAGGTAGCGAAGAGCAATGTGCTTCGTTCTGTGCTCCAATCTCTGCTCCCGACACAAGGCCAGCATGGCCTTGTTGTCTACGTACAGCACTATAGGAGAACGAGGCGGCTCTCCGAGGTCAGTCAGCATGTACGTGAGCCAATGAAGCTCCTGTGCAGCCATGGCCCTCGTGTAGATCTCAGCCTCACAACTGGAGCCGGGAACAGAAGACGAGCGGGTAGCCCGCCATGAAACAGAGCCAGAACCAAGGCTGAAGGTGTAACCCTGTGACGACCGCTGCGTAGCCTGGTCATCAGCCCAAGAGGCGTCTGCGTGCCAAGTGAGGACCACTGGACCTCGCCCTCCAAGCACTAGCCCCATGCCCGACGTACTGCACAAGTAGCGCAACACCCTCTTCGCTGCAGCCATGTGCTCCGGTCTGTGTCTCCCAGGAGCAACATAGCGTGCGAGAATGCTAAGAGGGTATGCAAGGTCAGGTCGTGTGCAGGTCATTAGGTACATGAGGCAGCCAACAAGCTCTGGGTACGGGCCACTCGACTCTACGGACTCATCCGAAGGCAGAGCTGAGAGCGAGTGGCGAGTAGGCAGAGGAGTGGCCTAAGGCGAGGAGTACGTGAGGCCGAAGCGCTGAACGACCTGCTGCACCATGTGTGACCGAGTCAGGGTAATGGTGCGGCGTGCTCTGTCCCGGGTGATCTGCAAGCCAAGGTAGCTGCGCAGTTCACCCAGGTCTGTGCACGTGTGTCTCTTCTGCAGCTCAGACTTCACGTGGGCGAGTCCAGCAGTGTCAGCTGTGGCAAAGACCAAGTCGTCGATGTACACGAGGATGTAGAACGGCGGCAAAGAAGTGTCGGTGCGCAGAAACAGCGACGGGTCCGCAGTAGAGGGAGCAAACCCAAGAGCTGCAAGTGTAGTCCTCAGTGTGTCGTGCCACTCACGCGGTGCCTGGCGGAGACCGTAGACTGGCTGCCGGAGGCTCCACTGGGTGCCAGGAGGAAAAGACCCAGTGAAGCCAGGTGGGCGGCGCAGCCAGATCTCCTCGTGCAGGCTGCCCTGCTAGAAAGCAGTACTGAAGTCAAGAGAGTGTAGCTCGTAGTCACGGTGAGCAGCTATGTGCAGCAGTACCCAAAGAGTGGTTATCTTCGGGGTGGGAGAGAAGGTCTGAAAGTAGTCAACTCCCTGCCGCTGAGTGAAGCCACGAGCCACGTAACGCGCCTTGAAGACAGGCGGAGAACCCGGCGACCGCTTCACCCTGAAAATCCACATGCCACTGACGATGTTCGCCCCAGGCGGGGGTACCTCGTCAACGTAGGTGCCTGTGGACTTCCAGGAAGCCATCTCTGCA